ACTGACTAAGAATTATACGACAAGCAAATTATAAATACAAAAATTAATAATAAAATAATTTTATATTATGTAAGCTTGATAATATAAAAATTGAGTAATAAACACAAAGGTCATTAAAAAATTAATGTTTTAACATATGCCTTCGATTTTAGGTGAATGCACATATTTCAGTGCCATTTTAAAAGGCAGAATTAAAGCAAATGTTATTTAAGAATATATTTTTAAAATAATGCAGCTTGGGGTAGAAGAATCAGTACTGTGGGTTTGAATGGCGTACCTTTGAGCCGATCTGGTTCAAAGGCGGTTTTAATGAAGCGAGGCGAGCCTTAAGCCAAGCCAGTTGCCCAAAAAATAAAATAACAAACTTTTGAGGGATACTCATATTGCCTTGTTCGTTTGCTTTTCAGCTTTTCTTTGTATTTAAAGTTTTGTTTGTGCTTCAGATTTGTGAACAGAGCATCTACAGATCGGTTAGTCCCGATTTTTGTTCTCTTGCCTGGATTTTGTTAGGCGCGTTCTCTACTCAATGCCTTTGTGGCATAAATATTTATATGAAGTGTGCGCCGTTTGTCACTTTTCATATAAACTGAATTCTTCGCGAGGCGCACATGATCTTTTCGCATGTGTGCTCACCCAATTGTAGATCTATTTAACTAGGTCAATGATCTTATGATTTCTTGTATACCCTGTACTTGACGAGAGGAAGGAAAAGAAAACTATAACTTTCGTATTTATATTAAGTTAACTAGCATTATTTGGGCTTCCTGTTTTACATATTTGAAGAACTATTTGGAAACTCTAAATTATTTTCAGAATTTTATATTTCTGTTGACTAAGAAAAAGAACAGCCAAGCTTTGCTTAATTGAACAATTGATTTTAACAGCTCAATAATTTATTATTCGAAGCTTAATATTCATATATCATACTGATTAATTTGTCTAATTTGAACGCCTGCTCTGATGATCAACAACTAATTACTGAATACTTAGAGAAAATTCGTAATCGAATAACAATTATCCAGCGTCAAGAAGTGAAGAGATAGGCTACGAACTGGGCTGGCAAATGGCTTGCGCTGGTTTTTCCAAGAGCTGCGCCGCGTCACGTCAACGCACAAGTAATTTTCACACAACTTAACGCCACATATCGTGCATATTAATTATGGTTGGGTGTAGGCATGGGCCACGCTTTGGCTTGCCAGTGGTAGGGGGTTTGAAGTGCAAGGGGGGTAAATCTAATTTGGTAAGACGACCCAGGCGGTAGTCACGTAGATTGGCAACGGGGAGTTCTCCTTTGGCCCAAAAAGAGCCACATGCTAAATGTCATTTGCTCGAGAGCTAAAGAGCTCGAGGCATGCGGGCAATGCGCCTGCACGTATGCTACGCAGGGCAACCAGAATAGAGGGTAGAACACTTGGAGAAAAACCAGGTACCAAATTACGATATACCTTTTAAGTACGTTTTCTTATCAAATATATTTCAACAATCTAGAATTTATACTTGATATCGAAATTTACCTACTTAAGTACAAAATGCCTGTGATGAAAATTTAACGCACGAAAAATGCGTAAAAAGCAAAAAATGTTAAGAAAGTATGTATACTTATTTTAGGTAAAACATACTTGAACTGAGAATTTAAATACTCTAAATAAGCGTACAAGTTTTATTTACGTTGTTCGCTTTTGCATTTTAATTTTGTGCTTACCAATTCTTTTGAATAATGTACTTAATTTAGGCTCAAAATATTTGAAACTGGAAATTGCTTCCTTGAAATAATAGAACTTAAAAATGTCGTTTTATCATCGTTATGTTTTGCATTTGAGTTTTGTGATTACAAACAATCGTTCGGAAGAAAAAGTTCAACTTAATTAAAAAAGACATTTGTACTTGATTGATGTACAAAATACTTATTACATTTTGTTAGAGACTTGAGCACGAAACACATAATTTAAGTTGAAGAAGTTCTCATGCGTTTTTATTTTTTAGTCTTTGAGTCTTGTGATTATGAATTTTTGCGCTAAAAAAGTGTGTTTGAAGAAAGTAGATTACGGCAGTATTTGTTTTTGGTGTGAGCATACTCTTCGCTCAGTGTGTGTTTGCCGCTTTGTTGTTGTTAAGTTGCCACGTGCAGAGACGGCAGCTATTGTAGCCATGTCAAGTATTTATAGGTAGGATGCCAGGATTTGGCGCGTTGAGGCCAAAATTTCGGCTCAAAAATTACTCATGTGCGATGTCGTTGGGATCGGCTGTTTTCTTGGCCAGGGCCAAAAATAAATTAAATGCCAGCGCAAAACAAAGGGAAAATTCCTCAGAAGAAAAATGCGCCTTGCCAGCCCGAAAGACAGGTGCGACTCATGCAGCTCGAACAGCAAACGGTAGCAGGAACAAAGCTTCTGGCAAACAAAGGCAAAAATAAATGAGCGTTAATTAGCAATCAGTCAAATGCACATGTTGCCAACTCTTATTTATAACGCATACTCCAGGCGTAGCCGACTATGCAACGCCGGGTAGCGTTATATACAAGTAAGAGACTTATTGGTTTTATTCGGCTTTAAATTTTAAATCACTTTTCCATTCATTTTCCGCCTGTGTGCTTCATTTGGCGAAATTCGTGAAACATGTACACATTAATATTTTATATAGAGCTTTGGAAATGCATTTAAAGCCACCTTCTTACAACTGAATCTGTAACCTTTGCCAAACAGGAAGTTGGAAAGTGAAAGAAATAGGTCGCTAAGAAAATGTCTTCTTTCTTCAAGAACCTAAATAACCATTTTACGAGTGTGGCTGTCAGGCTTTAAGTAAATTGTTTTGGGTCTATATTTTAATTTTGTTTCTTCCTAGAACTTAGCATACCAATTTTCTTTGTGCTAAAGTGATAAAAGCAATTATTATATAAAAATAAATTATATTTACTTGAAACCCCAATTTTAGTAGTTGATGCTATGCAAATCAAGTAAAATCCCTAGTTAGTTATTTATGCCGATTTATACATACTGTGAGCATATCTATTGATTCCTTGCTTCTTCATATTTTGAAGATTAGTTTATGGATATTCTGTGCAACATATTTGCAGCTAAGCCAGCCACAGCTCCGCAACATTGATGGCTAAAAGTATGCAAACAGCTTTGACGAAAATAGATTAAATGGTATGTCAAATGGGAGGAAGGAAAACAATAAAAAAATATATAAATAATTCGAACGACAGGCAACTTGAGGGCCAAATTGTTTAAAGGTGAAAAATTGTCTGATCAAAATGCACGCCAACAGAGGGAACACCAGCAGTTACTCAAGGTGCTTGGCCGTATGACAAGCGTTAACTTTTCAATGTTGACATCCAGCCACCCTGGCCCCTGGCCCCTGGCCACGCCCCGCCTACCTTGCTGCCAACGTGTGCTGTTTCGTGCGCTCAATCAATTTTGTCAATTTTCTTTTCGCTGTTTTTTCTTCTCAGTCGTTTTTTGCTTTCAGCAGTGCTACTTCTTGTACCCTGTATCCATTGAAAATAGAGAACGAATCATGGGTATAATAGTTCCTGATTCTATCGTCTATCTGTAAGATTCTATCGATATCCGATATCGGGGCGAACCAAGTTTATTTCTGCAATATCGATAGTTATCGAGTTGGAACGCAAATATCATGGCATATTTCAGCTTGGCACACTAAACTGAGAGTTTGGGTTCATACATTCGTGAGTATTTCATTTTCTCGATAGCTCGCCCTTTTTCAATCAAAACTATTCAACTTTAATGTTATAGTTCGGATATTTCATTTAAAAATCATTTTTATAGGGTATCTTCTAGCTAGGCACTCTCAGCTAGATCGTTCTTATTTTATTTTTATTCGGGTACAGCGCACGTTTGGTTTATTTATTCCTGCTGGTTGTCGCAGTTGAAGCTGTCTTCATAGCCATTACCCCGCACCCTGCACTCTGCACCCCGCACACTTAGCTTTGCCCACCCCCTCTGGCCAACACTCACCCTCACCGAACCCCAGCATCAGTCCATTTCGCTGATGCTGATGCTGCTGCTGCTGATGATGATGCTGCACGTCTCGCAATGCTCTGATGTGTGTTGATATTTGACACTTTATTATGTGCACATCATCAATTTTGAAATTATTGTCAATGTACCGAAAGAGCACAACAATATGCACGATAAGGCAGGTTGGTGGAACAGAATAGCCCCTAAATACTGATCGAAAATTTGCCATGATTATTTTCCAATTATGCACGTTGGTCAGCCTGGCGAAACCTTGCTCAGCTTGCTTATTCAAAAAACTTATGTGTCTCTGTTAAGTTAACATATTGGATAATAACAGCTTTACAAATGCAATTAGCAGATGTGATCGCCTTAACAGCGAGAGCTGTAAGGCATATCAGGGACTGGTTTTAGTTCAGAGCTCTTTCATACATATGTACATGAAAAACAATATAAAATGAAACACAATTTTAATTCAAATTTGATATAATTTATATTTTATATATTCTTAATACTGCCATAAATTATATAAGAAATCTGATCAGCATTGGTTCCGTACAAATTTGCTTTTCAGCTTTGCGTTTAGTTTTAATAAAAACTGTACTATAAAAGCACAAACAGTGTGACCAAACTTAAAATGAATAATATCACTAACCAAACAACACATTTGTGCGCAGTTTTGCTTGTCGGACAAATACACCCATACACATCGATCCCTAAACATAAAGAGAGAGCATTGAAAGCTGAGAGTAAGTGCGAACGAGATAAAAATAAACAGCGCTGCTGTTCTATCGCACATATCATATGGAAGAGAGAGTGCCAAGCACTTTTCTGTAGTGTAAGCGGTTAAAAAATACATTATATGCGTATCTTACTCCCTTACTCGCGATTTTGGACCAGATGCCACTGATACTTTTTGTGCCAACGTTTCTCCTATGTGATGTCCAGTCTATATATTGTTTGGTTAGTGATAATATCTACGCATCAGAAGGCTGCGCATTTAAGTTTTAATTTAAGTATTGCTTCGTTGAAAATATGTTCACACACAATTACAAAAACCAAATATATAAAAAGCATTCCAAAAGGGACAAAAATAAAACTAAAAAAGTGTTGACCAAATGATCAATTTTAACTTTACCAATGTTTTGACATCATCCGCCTTAGATTACGCCCTTGAGTAAGTGCCTAACAAAATATCGATAACAAATGCGATAACAATTCATCAACCAAAGTTCAGATGGTGAGGAATACATTGCCTCCACTCCTAGCGGCTCGGTGCATCAAAGTTTCTCGCGGTGCGTACATTTCAAAAAACAAATAATTAAATTCAAAAATAAATAAAGTAAAATCTAAAGCTAAAATGCCAAACTAATAAAATAAACAAATATAATAATAAAAACTTAAAAATATATAAATTTAATAAAAATGAAATATATTAAATATATAGAAAAAATATGTTGTTATAAAATATACAAATAACAGTTTTCAATAATGAATATATATATAAAAAATATTAAATATACAAAAAATAAAGTATAACAAAGCTATAAAGTTAACGAATATTATAAAATTATATTAAAATGTTGGCATTTGAAAATATAATAATTGTGATATTCAAATAAACTTATATTAAAATAAAAATAAAAAATATGCAAATCTATAAATATTATTAAACAATATATATAACAATTTGAGGCTATAGAAACACTTGTGATGTACATACAAAAATAAAAAAAAATATATATAAAATATGTAAATATAATAAATTAAAATATAAAATATAATAATGAAATTAAATATAATACTAAATCTGATCTACAAACACCGCAGCACCTCGCTGCTGCTGCTCGATTACAAGCAGTTTTTGGCCGCACGGCGTATTCAGACTCTCTGGCGGGGCCATCACGTACGCAAACTGCACGATAGGCGCGTGCAGGCGGCCATCACTATTCAGCGCTGGTGGCGCGGCTTTAGCGTGCGCCGCAATTTCAAGTCGTCGATCGAGGAGAGGCTGCAGCAGGCGCTGATCGATAGATATAATGAAGCGGCGACCAAAATCCAGTCCCTGTTCCGCGGCTGGTATGTACGTCAGACGGTGCACGATATGAACAGTCTGCGGAACATGCAACACTGTGCCGCCGAGGAGCTGCTCAGCTGTCTGGCCTACAAGCTGCATCATCTGCTACGCACCTATTCCATACCGGGCGTCTACTCGCTGCGCAATTCACAGTGAGTTGTAGTCGAGAGTTTAAAGCGTTGCAAGCTCCTTCATATGCATCCCTAACAACCCCAACAGCTGTCTATCCAAGGTGGAGAAGCTGCTGACCAGCATGACCTATCGCTTTCATAACGTCCACGTTGCCTACAATCATGCGCGAAAGGCCTCTTCGAGCAGATATTATCGGGAACAGTTTAAGCAAAACAAATACCACACGAAGGTGCCCTATTCTGGTCCCAATTTCAATAGCTTGTGCAAGCCGGCCTGCGAGGAGTCCGTCTTTGCAACCAAGGACATGGATCGTCGCATGTTCAAGATAATTGCTGAATATGAAAAGGGTCAAGTTGATCCCAAATTAAAAAAGTTGCAAAGGAGTGTGGCTGGCCGTGAGTAGCTAACAGCTCTAGCTAGAGTTGGGCGCGCCTTGGACACGACACGGTACACACTTAAAACACAATCGTTCTTTTTAAATTTTTGTAACAAACACGACAAGCGCCCAACTCTGCAATATGCCCAATACCTTACCTCTTACCTCGCACTCCCCTTATTCTCCAATTTTTCTGTCTTGCTCGTTCTACTCGCTCTGTAGATAAATTTCGCAAGCGAGTGGAGAAAATCTTGGCGGCTAGAGAAAAAGTACAGTCTGACTTTTGCGCCGATGTCATCGGGAGCATGCGCAAATGGAAAATTTGGGATGGTCAATCGCTAACGATAAACAATGATGTCTTCCGGAATCCCGAGAATCTGGAAAGTTTTCTTGCCGATGCCGCAAAATTAATCGATGAGTATCAAGCCACATGCCATTGTCAAATAACTAATTTTGATAAGCTATATTGTTTTTGATTAGCATTACCCGTTTGGCTTTTTGTGTCTCTGATAGAGTTAGGCACGTGTCGTGTCACGAACACGCACGACTCGCTTCACGTTGGGGAGTGCGGCTCGTGCGTGTTCGCACGAGCACGACCCAATGGACCTTACATGTTGCCACAATAAAATTGTATGTGAGTACTAGAAATGACTAGTTTTGTTGATCGAAGAAAACATAAGGGATTCATATATTTAATTTATATCTATTTATTTGTGGGCTGTTGCACACTTTTCGAAAAATCCATTCCTTGGTGGAAATGGGGGTCAAAGATTTGGTGTATGACGGTGTATAAACGCAAGTATAGATATAGATATATAGAAATAGATATAGATATGGCCACGTTCTTCTCTTAAGCTTTAAAGATATGGTCGTAAAATAGCACTAGAATTTTATTTCGAAAGACTGGATCATAACATGGCCTAAATCCTGGTTTTGAATTGCAATCAGAGTCCATCAAGTAATCGCTTCTAATAAATGTAATTAATTCCTGTGAAAACAATTCTTTTCAGCAATGGAAACCCTCCAGAAAAACGGCCGATTTAGATCCAAATAAAGGTTGACCTAGCACAGATCGCAAGTTGCCTTCTGCTATTGTCCAACTCGCTTACGTAGCCACATGCCATAGACGAAAGGCACATTTGGCGCACCGCAAAGTATGCAATCAATTTTAATGGCACACATGCAGTGCATGGGCGTGGCATCGCCTCGCCGTAGCCATGCAATGTTTTACCAATAATTTTCAATATAATCAGCACCTGCGACGCCGTCAACTGCGACTACGATGGGCGTAAAGGAAGCCGACAAATGTTGCTAATGTATAAACATTTGAGGCTGCCGGCAATGTTAAAAGGAATAAAAATTGAAATGCCCGAGCTCGCCCAGCGAGGCGGCTCAGACACGTCAGCGGGCGGGCGAGTGTGGCACACTTGCCACATTTATGTGGCAGCCAGCCGTTCTCAACTGGCGCTGAGTATCAGTGCGGCAGGCGGAACCCGTAATGCGTTACGGTTGTGGCGTTAATTTCACCACATGCGGTTGTTGATAAAAACGGGCAGCCGAATAGGAAGCACCAACTGCTTATGGCCAAGTCCTTAAAGTTCCTGAAAACCAACTAATGTGATGCGTGAAAAATGTTGGGTAAGTTCTATTTTCTACACTCTTGAACGAATGTCGATCAAAAGTAATGCAAAAATAATATTAAAAAAATATAGGGTAGCTTCCAATTTGTCCGGCTTACAAAAAACAAGTCAACAAATTATTAAGAACACTATTTGAATAATTTAACGTATTATCTACGACTATCGACGCACAAGTGTTATATGTGTGTAACAAATATTCAGCGAACTTTGCAGTTTTTTAGGTTTGATGTTATCGTTGCACTAGCTTTATTTTATATCCTTTAGCCATTGGCAATTTTAAAAAATGATTTTACGGATCTATTCATATGTACGTTACTGTCAGAACAAAGCATATTTGACTATATCAAATGGGCTATGGGTCCGTCTGTATAAACACATTTCATATAAGAGACTTTGGAGACTTTAAATCTGAATACGACATTATTTTATAGAATTTTAAAGCTATTATTAAGCTACGTGTTTACCTAAATATAAAAAAAAAAGAAAAGAATTTCAGACTAGATTTTTTATCTCGGGCATATCTATACATCTGGGGTATTTATTTGGTATATGGTTTATTGTATATTCTTCTTATTCATATAATTTGCAAACTATTTATTCTTTTTTTTTAATTCCTACGCCAAGAGCAAGAGGAAAAGAAGCTAGATCAAAGAAATCGATTTAATATTTACTAATTTTGGAATATTTTTTATGTGTGTTATTTTTTATAACTGTTCTCTTAATGGAATATTTGATCAATTTTTTTTTTTATTTGAAAATGGTTTGCACTTAAATAAAATTATGTTAATATATAATTTTTTTATGAGTTAAGAAAGTAAATTCAAGAATTTGGAATTGAAGCATTTAATTGACTTGATCAATTTCATTATGAATCCAGTCTAAAAATTTCTCGACATTAGTAAACATGGTACGATTGGGTGTGTCTCCATGGCTCCAGGAGCCAATTTGATAGTAACGATTTGGACTCTCATTTACTTTGGGACAAACCAGCGCCGAACCGGTGGAGAATGCGAGATTATGTGAGTTACCTGTCACGCATAGGAAACTGTCGTGTGTGCCATCGGCGCATTTGGTCACACTTAACCTCATGGTGGTCACAATCGAACGTCCATTTCGTGTATATCGATTCCAGCCGGCGGCAATGCAATTCGTGTAATCAAAGATTCCGCCTTCGGGCAAACAGATGGGCCTGACGTGTACCGCAGGACTAAAGGTGGCATTCAATATGAGCAGAGCGATATTATTACTGAATGGCTGCAGAGAGTAGTTCGTATTGGGTATGATCTTTGCCGAGCGCTCTTGATAGGGTAGTATCTCATTCTCCGTTGCCATATCCCAGTCACCAGCTCTGACCTTAAAGTCCTCGATTTTATTCAAAATGTTGGCGGTGCTCAGCACCACTCGTGGAGCAATTAGTGAGCCACCAACACGATACTCACTCAAAATGGTGTATACGCCCACTATCCAGGGATATTCACCAAAGTTCGCCTCATCCCGAACGTTGCCCACGATGGTAAAGTAAACGCCTTTCGGATTAGTTAAGCCGCAACGCGAATCCTTGTCGACTGAATGGCTCGGAAGTGTTACATTTCGCTTTTGTGACAAAGATAAGGGAAGAGAAAGAGAGAAACAATACAATATGTATATATTTATTAAAACTAACCACTTTTTATATCTATGCATTAAATCAGAATTAAATAAAATAAAATTGTATTTTGATTTTTATTAGGTTTGTATTCGCAAATATTATTATTATAAATTAATTCATATTCAACTTTTAGTTCTGAAGAAATTTAATCTTATTCACATCAGTGCTTATGTGTGCGTGAGAAAAAAAAGCGAAAGAGGGAGAGTGAGGGCGAGAGAGCATTTAAACTTGTAATTAAAGCGCTCGACTTTTGATTCATTGATGTAAAATTGAATATGATTTATAAATAATTCAAGAAATTTTTAAGTCTATGAGGCCTAGAATTTCAGAACTTACAATGTTCGAATCGCTACAGCAGGTTTCCAGATAATGACATTCGTTTTCTTCTCTTAGATTTATGATATATTTCTCTTCCACCGTTGTTTGGGTTTTACAATCCCAACGCCTGACGCAACGATTTGTCATATTTTCACCACATTTACGTATTGGACTTGGAGTTGTTGTTGTTGTGGTTGTAGTTGTTGTTGCAGGTGTTGTTGGGTCAATTGTTGTTGTTGCGCATGTGATTTTTAAGGGATTATCAGTTGATTGTGCTTTCTCTTGAGCCAACATAATTCTTTCGATTTGCTCAAAAGTTTTTTCGATTTCTGTTTTGACCTTAATTCTATCTGAAATGTTGATATATTTGTGTGTTATGCTGAAGATTTCCTCTTGCAAGGCATCTTTAAATAATTGTAATTGACTCGTAATATTATTATTATCATTATGTGTTGGTTTGGTATCCGTCGAACTATTTATATTATCTATTACACTATTATTATAAATATAAATGTCAAGCAAATCCTCTTCTTCTTGTCTCTCCGTAACATCTTCATTTAAATCAGTTGATTTCGTCGAACTATTAATATTATCTGTTGCATTATTAACAAGACTCTCCAGCATATTGTAATCATCGTCATCTTCTTGTCCCTGAGCCTCCCTCAGGTAGATGAACGTCAAAAAACAACATAACCAAGCTCTTGAAATCAGCATTTCCGGTATTATATAACTATAAATAAAGCTCTCTAAATTCAAAATACATTGAGAACTTTTAAGTTAGCGCAAAATTTCACCAGATTAAATGACTTACTTATTATAAATTATTAATTATAAATTACAATACACATCTCATTTATCATTATACCACCATGAACTAATAAGCACTGAAAATTTCGCAGAATTTCTTTGTTATTAGCTATTGCTCAGTTCAAGTTCTACTGATGAAAGCTTCCAATTGAAATCAACATATATTTACACACTCTTAGACATACTGAAATTAAATATAAACAATGCAGTCGACGCTCGCAGATAAGAATTAATATATTGTTGTCACAATTTGGTAAAGCATATGTGTATTTGTTTATATATTTAATTAATAATTTTATATACATATACATAAGAATCTGTGTATACATATTCACACTGAAACTATTGCTAAAAATATTTGAATTAATTCAATATAATCGTCTCTAAATCTTACTGAATCTATAAGCAAAATTGCTGGGAAATAAATGTTCAACGCATAATACTTTAGCTGGGCCAAGACTACAATAGGAAAGACAATTATTTGAATTTCTGTTTTTTTTTTTAAGTTATGCAATATGTGCAATATAATACAATCTATTAACTAACAATATTTATAAGTTTATATATATATATGTTTCGTTTGTCTGTCTAGGGTGTATAGTATTTCTTATCGATGTTCAACTTGTCCAGCTCCCGACTAACCCAGGGCATGAGGTATGGCACATTGGTATAGCCAGCGGGCACATTCTCCAATCCGCAACCTATTCCCCATGCCACAATGCCAGCCTGATAGTAGCGACTGGGGTGGCCTGGAATGGGGCAGACTAGCGGGGCACCACCATCGCCAAGGCAGGCATCGATACCTTTCTCGCCGCCAGCGCAAATGTAGCTCGGATCAAAAATTAAATTTGAATCAGATATTTTACTCAGCTTGGCAATGCACTCGGCTCGTGGCAGTACGGGCACGGTGATTTCCTTCAGAATATGTTGATAGGCATTGGTGTTGTGGGTGCTCTTGCCCCAGCCGGTGACAATGCATCGAGTGTTATCAAATCGCTCACTGGCTTTGGGCAGGCAAATGGGTGAAATGTGTGGACTCGGATCGAAGGGAGCCTGCAGCAGAAGCAATGCAATGTTACTGAAGCTACCATCATAATGCGGGTGAATGATATATTGCCGAAGAGCGCGATCTTGGTGATTAAAGATTTCCCGTGTTGTCCGCTGATCCCATTCACCAGCTCGAACGATAAGGTTGGCCAACGTCCTGTTGGTTATCTTATGGGCAGCTGTTAGTACCACATTGGGTGCAATTAAGGAGCCGCCGCCTATGTAGATTAATAGTGGATCCTCATTCACCAATATGGCCACCATCCAGGGAAATTCTCCGAAATTGGCCTCATTGTGCCTTGGATCCTCTATGGTCAGCTGTACGCCATTCTCATGCCGTACACCGCAATCTGCCATCTTGTTCGGCTGTACATCTTGGGGGCGACTCAGTATCTGTAATGTGACACTTTCCCCTTTGATTTTTGTTTTTCGTATAAATATATTAACCTACGAACTTACCTTATCAGCTATGTGACAGCAGACTTCATTGTAACTGCACAGTTCCTCATTGCGCGCAGATCGAAATTGTATGCTATAGGCTCCATGATTATTGATTATACTCTTTCTGCACATCCAGAGCTCAACGCATTCGCTTTGCTGGCCGCAAGCTTTGGCATTGGGATCAGCTACAGGGTGTGCCGTTAGGTCTGTGTTATTGTGCTTGGATAATCGGTTTATAATGCTTTGAAATGTGTTATCGATAGCACTGAATAGTTGATTTCTTTGCTGTGCAGTTGGTTGAAATATATTTTCAACTTCTGCCTTTAGCTGATTTTTCTCTGCCGTTAGATCGAGTGTTGGCAATTTCCCATCCTTCAGTTTCTTGTCAGTCTGTGTCAGATCGGCATCGGTTTGCCTCGTTGTCCCATAATCAACAAACTCTGAACGTGTGGAATCAGTCTCATTTGACGGTTCGTCGAAAAATTCCGATAGAAAATCGAAATCTACGCTGTCAGCCTCAGCAGAAGTTGCGGTTGTGTTCACATTCTTATCAAGATGTTTTCCTGGCAATGAGTTGTCCACATTTGGATTCGCTTCCGCATGATCGACAATCTCCGGACGTTTGGAATAAGTCTCCTTTGACGGTTCGTTAACAAATGCATCAAGATAATCGTAATCTAAGTTGTCAGCATCAGCAGAAGTTGCATTTGTGTTCACATTCCCGCCAACTTGCTTCCCTTGCTGAGCTGTTTGAGCTGTTGTTAATTTGATAAACGGAATGTCTGGTTTCAGTTTTTCTCTGGGATTACCTGCGTCTGTCTGGGGAGCAGCCGAGATTAGATTTAATGTGGCAGCACAACAGATGATCAGCAGCAGGCCCATCTCTATTTTTATAATCTGATTCATTTTAACCAAACGCCAACGAATCTGTGCGTCAGTATTTCAATTTTATATTGTTTTATTACGAACGCATCGACTTAAACAATCCAACTGCCTCTTTCTGACTAATCGTGGAAGAGGCTTTTTCGTATTATTTATATTTTATTTCTTTGTATTTAGTTGTATAAGTGGAAGTGCAAAGGGGAGTGTTACAATTTAGTTCTTATTAAATGAGGAATAGTACTACTAATATATTAAGTCACATAATAATTAATAGTAAAAAATATTTCAAGAGACTCTTAAAAATAATAATTATAACAATAATTTAATTAATTAATTTGATTATAAATAACGCAAAAGTTGTGAGTAAAGACGAAAGCGAAAAGCGAATTTTCCTTACTCGTATTATGTGATTTCTTCATAAACGGAATATTGTTAATGATGATTCCCCCTTATTAAATCATTTTTGCCACGGCTCTGTCATTTGTTATCAGCTTCACGCATACGCACACATACATCTATATATTTATATATGTTTGTTTGGCTATATATTTATTTTTAAATTATATGTTAATATATATTTATGTCAAAAATATAATCATATGGTACTGATTTTGCAAGCTCTGCTCAGTGCTGGTTTTCAATTCACATTCATCGGATTGTTTCGTTAGCTCTCCGCTTAGAGATGGGAAATCCTTTTGTTACCTTTCGGTTTTCCATATGCTTTTTTCTGGTCTCTGTTCTTCTGGGTTCTACTAAAGCAGAGGTAGGTAATTCAAGTCAAAATTTTTTCTGTAAATTATTTTCAAATAATTGTGCCGAAAAGTCAGCGCCTGTTTCCAAAGCAAAATCATGTGGGTATAATATGGAATGTACGCCCCGATACTTATGTGATAAGACTAATACCGTAATCAAAGATGGAAGAGCTCTTATCGATTTTCGCACAGCCGTATTCTCAAGAAAGGGCGCTCAGGTCTGTGACTGGTCTGAAGTTTGCTGTGCGCTGGCTGATAAGGTGAGAGCTGCAGTAGCTAAGGTAATCGCTCATCATGATAATAACGATTCCCCAGAAATCAGTTCCGGAGGAGGAATACATTTCGAGAGGCTGTGGCTATAGCAATCCGAAAGGTGTCCGAATAACCATAGAAAATGGTGATAACAACGAATCGCAATTTGGCCAATTCCCGTGGATGGTGGCCATTCTTAAAGAGGATTGCTCCAGCAGCCAATGTACATATGTAGTTCTGGGCGGTGGCAGCCTCTTGGCGCCAAATGTGGTCGTGACTGTTGCTCACATTCTCCACAGAGGCTCGGTTTCTAATCTCATGGTGCGGGCTGGCGAATGGGATATGCTAAGCAAAGCTGAAGCTTTGCCTCACGAGGATCGCAAAGTGGCGACGAAAATCATTCACGAGAGCTTTAATGTGGAAACCGGCTACAATGACATAGCTCTACTTCTGCTGAGTGAACCCTTTAAACTGAACGAGCATATTGACACCGTCTGCTTGCCGGGCCGGCAGCTCCTCGTCGATTCGAGCCGCTGTCTCGTCACAGGCTGGGGCAAACGTAATTTCCAGGATCCAGACTATCCACACCTATTGAAGAAGATCGAAATGCCATTGGTGAATCATGCCAAGTGCCAGGCACAGCTGCGCAATACCCGCCTTGGCCCCTATTATGAGCTGCACAGCAGTTTCGTCTGTGCCGGCGGCGAGAAGGACAAGGACGCCTGTTTTGGTGATGGTGGAGGGCCCCTCATCTGTCCCATGAGCAGCCTCTCTACTCGCTATAAGCTGGTCGGCATCGTTGTCGGAGGCCTGGACTGTGGCAATGAGAATGTGCCCGGTCTCTATGCGAATATTAATATGCTGCAACCCTGGATCGAAGCTAAGCTTAAGCAGTTTACAATAGCAATCTAAGCATATATTTTTAATAACTAATCAAAAATGTGCACAAGTTCAACGTTTCACATGATATTCTTTTAATTTAAACCAGCTTTTTGTTCAGTTTTTCTTCTTCAATTGGACCCGAATTTAGCAGGCTTATCGCTCTAATGAAGTCTTCTCATTATTTAATCAATGACAATGTTCTAATATATGTCTATATAAATAACAAGTAAGAGGTTCTAGTCGGGAGCTCCCGACTAGCGGATACCCTGAACCCTCTTCTTCCAACATCAAATGCATATATATATTCTATTTTAGAATCTAAATGTCAAGTTTGGGAACTCTAGCTCTTATTATTTACCAAAATTGCCCAAAAAACAGGATATCGATATCGATTTTTATCGGTTGCTTGGAAACGGAGTAAGTTATCGATTATCGGAAACGAAGTCGATCTGCGCGGGCACTAGGAGCACCTACATCTAAAAAGTCTCTAGCTCTCATAGGTTCTGAGATCCTTGCGTTCATACATACGGACGGACGGACAGACAGACGGACATGGCTAGATCGACTCGGCTATTGATGCTGATCAAGAATATATATACTTTATGGGGTCGGAGATGCTTCCTTCTGCTTGTTACATACATAACTATTAAACTAAAAATATTTGTATTAGGCCAATGAATCCTAATATGTGAATGTATATTTGATTGTATTATGTGTGATATTATATAAAAAGATATATTATACACTTGGCGTTGCCCCTGGAACATTTTGTCAGTCAGTCAAAATAGTTTTATAGATAGAGATATGCATATAGGTACGTGTGTAGAAAATGAAGCTGAAGTGAAGTTATAGTAAGGTCGGCTTACCTTACATGCGAATCAGTCTACCCTTAAATAAAATTAAGAACTCACCAGCGGAACAATTAGCAGCAAGTGTTTTCATGTTCGTGATATTGACAATAAAGTCAACAAATTGCAGCAACTACTGTCACATGTGTGCCGACAACTCGTGCGAGTGTCCTTAGCAATGATAATGCGAACCACTTGGGCAGCATTTGAAAGGATCTGAAATTAAAAAAACTGCTGCAAATTGAAATTGACTGAGGTTTGCATAAAGCACGATGCATGAAATATGAGAACCGCCACTGGTTTGTGCTCGGAGTCGGGGTTGGGCTCGAGGTCGAGGTTGGGGTCTACTAACTGCCGTCTGATGCAGGAGCGGGGCATGGGCTAGCGGGTGCCTGATGTGGCCTGTGCTCTGTCCACTGCAATTTGAGCAGACGTTTTCTAATAAACATTAAGTTGACATGAGAAACACGCCAAACAAATGAAGCAAATGCATTTCATGCTTTCGCCATATCCTCGCTCCAGGGCTGCCACTGGTGCGACGGGGTTGCTGGCGCTTGGCGGCGGGGGCGTGGCATCTGTTTACTAATGCTGCGCTGTCTGCTATAGATATTTTTTTGTTCCTTCTTCATTGCCGGCTTTCAGCGCTTGCACCGCAGGATATGTTTACAAATTGAAAAATATAGCATGCGACGACCGCCAGAACGTGCTAAAAAGAGCAGCGCATAGTGGTTCGCAATCAATGGAAAAATGCAATGGAAATTAATATAAAGATATAGATAGATAATTTATATAGATAATTTATCGATTACTATCGACAATAGTTAATTATGCAGAATGAATCGCACAGTAGTTTGGAATATGTTTAAAGAAATCTATATTAATGGCAGTTACAAATTCAAGTTATTAATACAATATATATCTATTATCGATAACTATCCATAAAAATCGACATATATTATCGATAGCTATCGATAGCATTTAATTATGTAGACTACAGCGCACAGGCAAAATAAATGTATTTTAACTACATATAGTTATTAACTTTATTAATTAACTTCAAAATACATTTTCGTAATCCCCCTTTATTATGATTTAGTTTGTAATAGCTTTGAAAATTGTACTTCAAGACAATTTATTTTCATAATTAATAAAATATATATACTTATATTCGTACATTTTAAATACCTACTTGCTCTACTGTGCCGCCTAGCTGCTTAAAAAAATATTAGTTGCATGGGTCAGTTTGTTGAAGAGAGGGTGGGCAGTTCCAGGCGCGGCGAGGGCAGCCCTGCAGACGACGTGCCGCGCTTTGTTGCACGAACGTGGCAACAGATACAGCGAAACATAAACTACATATACAGCTATATATTTATATGTACGGCAGTATACTTACAGCACATTTAAAATATATATTTTATATATTACTATATATACATACAAATATATATAAAAGCAAGTGGCTGGAGCAGCGTAAATCTGACATGAAACACTTGCGTGACAAGCAAATGCTGGCGCCCGGTGTCCCAAGTCCAGGTTCCAGTCGCCTGTGGGCCACCCAGGCCCTGCACTAGATGCAGAGAAAAATAATTATGGCGCAAATCAGAATAATGCAGCTTCCAACAGCAACAATAGCAACAAACTTAAACAAGAATCGTGCAAGTGTGTAACAACGTTAAAATACACTTACAAATAAAATAATGATATGCAGCGAAATTAAAGAACTATTAATTGGAACTTTACCGTTAATTTATATAAATTGATATACAATAAAATCTAGCGAATATAGCTTTACCGGGCAAATGAGTATAAAAACGCGCTAAAAAAAAACATATTATTCAAGTAATAATGTTTTTATATAATTTTATATTAAATGCCTGGCTGCATATATATATATATATATATATATATATATATATATATATATATATATATAGTATATAGTAGTATATATGGGTAAGCTTAGAAAATATTGCATTATATATTTTTAATCAATATCAATTATTAAATCATGGTTAGCTTGGTAAAATACCTCTACTAGCTATATATGCATATTTTGCGATAGATATAGCTTATAACTTGCTAGTCGTACCCATTTATTTTAAGCGTATAATCATGCCTTAAAATTAAAACAGAACACAGACTCCGGCGTCTACAAAGGGGGACAATGTCAGCTGGATGAATATTAGCCTGAGGGCAACAAGGAGTTGCATTTTGGGCACTCCGAGAAGGGGCGGGACGGACTTTGAGAATGGGCGGCGATGCTCAAAGAACTTGCGAATGCGCCGACTTTCTTCAGTTCTTCATATATATGCGATGACAATGCCCTTTGTTTTGACAGCAGCTGTCAAAATGCGGACAAATTAACAGACGGGCTACCCCGAAAAGCCTAACCTGACCAAATGATTTCCAATGTCAAATTGACAATTAGATTTGTCTGTTTCCCGCTCTTGGCCTCTCACTCTCTCTCTCTCTCTTTCTCTCATCTCTTTCTATGCCCGACTCAAATGATCTGCTGTACCCCCCACACTTCCCCTCAGCTGTGCCCTGCTGCCTGTCAGCCTGTTGCGAAAATGTTGACAGCATTCAAATCAAAATGTTGACAAGAACCGAGAAAAGCGACAGCGCAGACGAATGCCGTTGGCAATAAAGTCCTGACTGCTGCCTGATGAGCAGATAACGACCCAAGGGTGGGTTGCCGAGGGGAGCGGGAAAGGCGTGGCACAGTGGGGCAACGTTGTCAGCATGTACATAAATGTCAACTTTGAGTCATTTGACAGTTGCACTGACTTCGATTAGGGCGTGATTTGAATGGGAAATTAGCAAAATGTCGTTAGTCGCTGCTCGTTGCGCGCGTTGCCACATTTTTCATTTGATGGCTTGTGGCAAATTTAATTATGCCACACCCACACTGCCTGCCAAAGCAAATGAGATGCAAATGGGAGCACGTTCAGCAAAATATTAATTTGAAAATATTAGAAGAAAATTCTGCTCTAGATCATAGCAAATATAAATTTTGTAACAAATAACATAAAAAAGCCGATTGATCGCCCTTATTATTATAAATGTTATTTTGCTAGATTTTTTAATTATTAATTTTATTATTATTATTATTCTAATTATTGTTAATATTATTATTATTTTTATAACTAAAAATAAATATTTGGGAACTCCTCTCTGTTTTCTGGCTTAAAGCAAGATATCAAGAGTTTTGCTCTCTTCTATATTTAATATAATATTTTATTATTTATACGCCTTTGACCCTTTGACATTTTAACCTAATGCAAAATTAGATGCTGCCTGCCTCGTTATTATCACCATCCATTCATGGATTCATTGATAAGCAACGAGCACTTGAACTTTACACCGAATTGCACTTAAAAACTGTGCAAAACAAGTGAAAATAAAAAAGAAAGTAAAATAATAAAAAAGAAATCAAGTATTATTATTACTCGATGCTATAAATTGCATGCAATGCGAGAGAGCCAAAGCAAATTCAAGTGTCGAATGGTTCGGTTTTCATTGGCGCCGGCGCCTGAATGGAACTGCCCTTCCCTGCCTCCATCGTCCCGTCCCTCACAAGCCCCATGCAACACAGCCACCTTGCAGCCCGTTGTCTGTCCCGGCAATGAGTGCTTCCTGTTTCCGGCGTCTCCACTGTCTGGCAGTAACAACTGTAAGCAACTATAACTGTCGGCAAGTTGGCTTTATTATTTCCACACTGTTGAATATGCATCTATATACAAGCTAAGAGAGGGGCAGGGGAGGGACTTTGTTTTGCTTTGACGAGACTAGCATTGCCCTTTGGCTCTTTGAGGCTGCCAATAGCCGGCAAAGGGTTCTGTGGCTCAGTTCTAGCCGGGTGCATTATCACCAGACGGGCAAGTAAAATATTGTGGGTGCATTAAATATTCGACTCTTGCCAGCCGCAGCAGCAGCAGAAACTATCCAAAATGCTGGCACAAGGATGTGCTGGCTCCTTGTCCTGCCGAGGCAGCCAAGCAGCAAACTATGTGGGCCTGAGTTGAGGCTGCGGCTGGAAATGATCCTTTTGTCTGCATTTTACATTTTATTAAACTATTTGCTGCTGCTGCTGCTGCATCTGCTGGTAGTTGCCTTCGAAATTTACCTAAAGCAACACATTTTTTTTTTCAGTTCTTGCAACAATTTGTGGCAAAAATTTATGAAAAATTTTAAGCAATTATGTGGCTGCAGCCGCAGCGTGCACCGCAAATATGAACAGGTGGAGGAGGGCAG